AGTGTTCACACACACTGCATGCACACACACACACACTGTGTTCACACACACCCACACACTGTGTTCACACACACTGCCTGCACACACACACACACTGTGTTCACACACACTGCATGCATACACATACACTGTGTTCACACACACTGCATGCACACACACTGTGTTCACACACACTGCTTGTACACACATTCACACACTGTGTTCACACACACTGCATGCACACACCCACTGTGTTCACACACACTGTGTTCACACACACTGTGTTCACACACACACACACTGTGTTCACACACACACACTGCATGCACACACACACACACACTGTGTTCACACACACTGCATGCACACACCCACTGTGTTCACACACACTGTGTTCAAACACACTCCATGCACACACACTGTGTTCACACACATACACTGCATGCACACACACACTCCTTGCACACACATACACACACACTGCATGCACACACACTGTGTTCACACACACTGCATGCACACACATACACATTGTGTTCACACACACACACACACACTGTGTTCACACACACTGCATGCACACACACACACACACTGTGTTCACACACACTGTGTTCACACACACTGCATGCACACACACACTGTTCACACACACACACTGTTTTCACACACATTGCATGCACACACACACACACTGTGTTCACACACACTGCATGCACACACACACACTGTTCACACACACTGCATGCATACACACACTGTGTTCACATACACTGTGTTCACACACACTGCACACACACACTGTGCACATACACACTACACACACTATGCACACACACACACTACACACACTGTGCACACACACACACTACACACACTGCACATGCACACTGCATGCACACACACACTACACACACTGTGTACACACACACACACACTACATGCACACACTGTGCGCACACACACTACACACACACACTACACACACTGTGCACACGCACACTGCATACACACACACTGCATGCACACACTGCACACACACACTGTGCACACACACACACACTGTGCACATGCACACTGCATACACACACACTGCATGCACACACTGTGCCACACACACTGCACACACACACTGTGCACATGCACATTGCATACACACAGTGCACATGCACACTGCATACACACTGCATGCACACACTGCACACACACACTGTGCACACACACACACTGCACACACACACTGTGCACACACACACTACACGCACACACTACATGCACACTGCACACGCACACACTGTGAACACACACACTACACACACTGTACACACGCACACTACACACACACACACACTGTGCACACGCACACTGCACACACACACACTGTGCACACTGCACACACACACACTGACTATGGTGCGTGGGAGTCAGCCGGCCGGCGGCGGCAGCAGCAGCAGCAGCGGGTGTGTACACAAAGCTGCTGGCTGCTACCAACCCACCAGACCTGTCCCGTGCCTCACAGTGGGCACTGGCGTCTGCACCGTCTCCTGTCTGGGACAGGATGTGGCTGTGACCCGGAGGGTCGCATTCTCCCCCCACCCCACCCCACCCCCTCTCTCTCTCTCTCTTGGCTATAGATGCCGAAGTTCATTGAGCCAATCAAGGGGGCTTTTCACTCTTCTGGCCAACCGAGCCCTTCGTTGAACCGAGATGTGTAATTTGGTTGGGAACGCACTGGGAGCCAGAGATGATGTTGCAATGTTTGGTTTTTGTACATTAACCTAATGGATTTCAAATGGTCTGGTCAGAGAGGAAAAAAAATATAAGTGCAGCCGGTATTAAAACTAAATAGAAGGGCTTTTAACTTGGAAATGTGGATATTGGCTTTCAACACCAGCAGAACGTTAGCGCAAAGGTTGTGTAATTTGTACCCACAATACCACAATTACAAAGTGTATCGATCAGCCCTGCACACCAAACAGTGCTGTGTGTGTATGTGTGAGTTTTGCATGGTCCTCTGTGTCAGAAAGAACACGCTTGACGTATTATCATTCATTTTGCTGTTGCCAACTTAAACGGATGGGGTTGCTTGTTTGAACCTCGTCGAGAAGCTGCTATTAACAGTAATACCACTTGAGTTATTATGAAAAGACCTCTCTGTTACAACACAGCCTTTTTACGTAGCTGCGATAGGAAATTAATAATGTGAGCCAGCTACTAATAAGCTACAATCTTGAACCGCGGGGTGAATGGCTGAGCGTCGTTTATAATTGTCAAGGGATAGCACATTTAAAAGGGTAATGTACTCATGTATAACCATTACTCATTCTGCAACTCATTCGTGATGCCATGCAGCTGGTCCATACGTGCCATTCAGACAGCACAGTTTTGACTTGTGGGATTCCGCAGTGTGTTCCAGTGGCAGAAGAGGTTGGGAAGTTTTCGTTTTTTGTAACTTAGGTTTTTTTTTAGGCTAAAGCATCCATAAAGCAGAAAGTGAAACAGGAGTCGCAGTGTAACTACAAAGGTATAATACGTGTAACACGTGCCAGACAAACAAGGATATAAAAGTGAGCCATGTGTTTTATTTAACGAGCCTGTGAATAATAACAGTTTTTGTACGCTGCAATTAAATTCCAGTGGGTATAATTGTTTGCTCTTATTAATATTATCTATGTAAAGTAAAAAAAACTGGCAAAATGTTAAGTAAAGTCTTCTTTTTTCTCCAGTTGGTGGATTAATTATACTGTGCACAGCAGTCATCGTCCCATCATGGCAGAATAATGCTCCAGGTCACCCTTGCAAATGAGACTACCCGGATATCTAACCTGGATAAAATTTTACTATAGGCTGACCCGATTCAGAGGGTACAGACGTTCCAATGATGTTAATACACAGGATCATCAATTCCATACAGGAAAGCATGATTGCATGATGGCAAATGAAATGTTAATGTAGTTCAGCATAGGTTGGGATGTGTCCTGGAAATTTAATGTGAAAAACTGCTGTATCTGAAATTAACCTTTAATAACAGAATAAGCACAAGAATGGAACTTTCAATTTACATATTTTTATATATTTTTGTTATATTTTGTATAGACATGTAGCAAATGAAATTAAATACATCGACAAAATTATATTTAATTAACTTCATCGATTTACATCGCAAAATCAAGTGTAAAAAATGAAACACAAATTCGGTATCTAATCTAATTTTTTACAAAACAGAATTTTATATTTATACATCATTGAAATGCAACTGCATCTTTGAGGCTCTTCATATGAAAATGTATATGCACATGAAAACCAATGGAGCTTAAGTCTTGCCTTGAAAAAGGGAAGTCTCAACTGTCCAAATTTCAAGAGGAAGAGAATTCCATAAGCCAAGACGGAGTGATTTCCTATGGAATGAAGATTGACTGTGGGCTTTATAAGTAGGCCTTTATTGCTGGAGCAGACAACCTTCCGGAGAGTAAAAGTGAGATGAGAGAGAGGTAGGGTGGGAAGCAGCAAGTCCATGAAGAATCGTAAAGAGAATCGCTGCAATCTTAAAGTGAATCCGAGACTTGACAGGAAGCTAATCAAGGGACTGGAGCAGGACTGGAGTGATGTGATCACGTTTTCATGTACGGGTGAGAGGCCTTTGCAGCGGCATTCTCAATCAACTGTAACCTTAACATCGGGGGAGTTTGGGAGATCGTAGAAATAGCGAGTTACAGTAGTCCAGGCGATAGGTAATGAAGGTATGGATGGCTGTGTTAGCAGCCGCTGGAGCCAGAAAATGCCGTATGTGGGTAGTGTTACGCAGTTGGTGGTTTATAGACTTGGAAGATGTGGTGTGTGAATGAAAGCTCAGGATCTAATTGATGGCCATTTGTAAATTAAACTCCTTATTTTGTATACGTACATTTAATTCCCAACTTTATTGTGTAATCTTCCTAGTGACTGTACAAATAGTTTTTCAGACTGACAAGTAATGTGAAGTATATGGTTTATGTATACAGTAAAGATATGTTGAGAAAATGAATAGATTTTTCTAAGGGATGTGTATTCAACGTTAGAGGCTCAATGGGTTCAGCAGATACATATGTATGTATGTTGAATTTATTTTGCATCGTATGTAGCTAACCGTGCTAATCGGCGGTGCGAGTGGCTTTTTGGGTTACAATTACCAGTAAATGAACCATACGAGGCGAATAATAGGATTGTGCAGAGTGGAACTGACATTTCTCAGCCTGAATTTTCCTTGTGGTCGTAATAATGTTCGCATTTGTTACTAATTTGCATGCAATCTGCAAGTGAGACTTGACTGGACAGGCAGGGCAGGTGCATCCACTTGCTGGGGGTCTTACACTACAAAGTGTAAATCTATACACTGAAAAAAACCCCATACAGAACTGGTCCAACATACATAAATATTTAACTTTACAATATAAAAAAAGATAATGCTCATTCACAAACATGACTCATAAGCAGAAATACTTCATCCTTTTGGAAAGTCTGATGCAACTTCATGAGGAACATTTGGTGAATCAAATTAATTTGTAAATTTTACTTAAAAATACAAAACAAATTAACGCATAGCTGTCCGATGCGTTTCCGGTATGTACCTTGTGCGGTGCGACATGCCGACTGACGTTTCGCTCTATGTGCTGGGTGCTTATTGAGGAAGTGGGTCATTCTGTTAAACTTTCATTTTTTGAGAAATATTCCAGTTTCTGATGAAGCTCTGAGCCCTTGGAGCGAGACAATGGGCAGCATGTTGAACCGTGCACAGCACAGCTCAAAACACCCATGAGAAGGGCCATACGGCACAGCAGCAGTCATAAAAAATTTAACTTATTCTGAGAAGAACAACAAGGACAAATGTTCATTATTTTGGCCATGTGACCGTCACGATAACTTTTTATGCACGTCAGCAGAAACTGTAACCCACTTGTACGTATTATTCTTGGAGGCACTTAAACACTTGTTAAATTCACTACCGTTCAGCAATGATGGGTGTTGCCTTTTTTTATCTACAGGCCGGGGGAAAAAACCCGGATTAAAGATTTCGGAGGACGTTTTCAAGCAAACTCCCCCGAGTCCAACGTGAGTATGAGTACATCACAGCGAGGACTAGGGAGACAGAGGAACACATGGCTATAGGAAGGCGTTAATGTACAGTTCTGCGCCAGGGAACAAATAATATACTGGTTTTATATCATCACGATCATCATTGATGATATATTCACTGCCTCTCCAAGTCATTGCCATCCCACAATACCGCAATGTCACAATCCATCTCGCTCCTGCTCATGAGCTGATATCACTGCTCCATCTCCGCAGTGGCCATCCTTTCGGGCGCATTCCCTCGTTTGGCCACCAATCTGTCACCAGCCTTGTCAATCAGCCATCGTCCCTTCGAGTGATGTATCCTGACCAATCTAATTGTGTCATACACAACATTGTTCGCAAATAAAGGCCTGTAGCGATGAGTGATGCATTAAGTAAGGGTGTCGTGCGATGGGAATTGTTGCATGTCTATAAATAATGCTGACATTTTATAAATTTTAGCAATATTACTTCGTGGGAATGGGACAACTGGCTAGAAATTGAGCTTTTAACGTTTTTTTGTAACACTAGTGTTCACACAATTCACTTTTGCAAACATTTCCATCATAGCTTTTGTGCATTTTCTGAGCACTTTGTCAACATTAACTAATAATATAATGCTCTTTACCTATGAAAGATGCAACAAAGTCTCAATATTCTTCTGGAGTACCTGGGGAACAACGCATGTATACGAAGGGGTAACACTCTTCTTGAGATTACCAACTATTATTGGTTTGAACTGCAAGGTGGCCAGGAGATGACAGGACAGCAATAGTTAAATCTAAGGACAAACCACACACATACATTTCTGCTTAGTCTCTAAAAACTGACAGGATGGTGTGAATTCGGGATGAATTTGTTAATTTAAAATAATTGTCTTAGCCAAAGGTTGAGAAAACTGTAATATAATTATGAGTGATGACAGTGATTAAGTTTTCTTAATCCTGAGAGGCCCAATAAATATCTACGTGTAATTATATTTAACTGAAAAATAACGGGCATATCATTCACCATATATGTATTTACTTACAAAAGAGATTTATTGCTTTATTAAGAAGAATCAGCCCACGTTTCGACTATAACCACGTGCCAGAAAACAGTTATAAAGGCAACTTTCTAGTGCACGACTTTGGCTTATATCCAATCTATTTAAGTTGAATGTGCATTCTGGAAGAAAGTGATGAATTTTGATTTAAAGCTTTCGTGACTGCAGGGATTCATATTCTTGGTTCTTTCGGTAAAGTCCACGTAGAAGGGAAACAATAATATAATAAAAATATAAAACAATAAAATTCTCACGACGTTTCGACTCCAACACAAGCAATCATCATCAGGTGTGAAAACCACAGCAAGAACATTTTCTTGCTGTGGTTTTTTAAAATTATTTTATTGTTTCCCTTCTTCGTGACTTTACAGAAAGAACCAATCATATGAAAGTGATAAATGTTTGTGGGTGGTATGGTATGATTCCACTTTACTAAAATGCCATTTGAAATTCGTGGTGTATTGATAAAATCTTTGTTAATATAAAAGAGAGCAAAGCATATATATAAAGACAAAATGCCTCTGGTTAAATACAAATGTCTTATAGCTCGTGTTGGTGGGGTAGACCCTGAATTTTACTTCCGCATGATGCTATCCGTCTCACCCCTGATTAGCATGGTTTGCTACGTACGGTGCGAAAGAAGTTCGACATACATTCATACAACATTTCAATGTGCAGAAGTGTTGGGAAACACTGTCAAAAGATACAGTTTGTGTAATTTTATTTAATCATTTAAACGTATGGAGTAAAGTTATGGCACGGATGTCGGTATGTTTACACGAAGGCTAGAATATTATTTGTGCAGGTGAAAAATCAGAGGAACGATGAGGTAAGGGGCATACAAATATATAAATTGTACATATACACTAACAGTATTCGGCAAAGCGCTTGCGTTTTTCAATGCGTGCAGTAACAACTTGTATAGTGGCACAATAAACCATGGAACATCTCAAAATGTTTTTTTTACTTGACATTTATCTATTATAATGACGGAGCAAGTTATAAAGTGTTTGGTAATTCATTAAGTCCAGCACATTGTGGTGGTGATAAAAGTTAAGTTTGCGGGGTTTGCAAACTGTTCTAGATTTGAAGCTTTCGTGACTGCAAGGATCCATACTCTTTGGTTCTATTCGGTAAAGTCACGTAGGTAAAAATAAAATAGCAAAAAATCACGACGTTTCGGCCACAACACAAGTGGCCTTCATCAGGTGAAGGGACTGGACTGTCCAGAGGACAGCGTTGGAGTGAAGACAGCAGTCCAGTCCCTTCACCTGATGAAGGCCACTTGTGTTGTGGCCGAAACGTCGTGATTTTTTGTTATTTTATTTGCAAACTGTGCCTAATTACAGAACATATTTATCCTGCACCACGTGTTATCTTCGGAAATGTAGAGTTGATAACGATGAAATGTCAACATCTTTATTTATGCATAATAGAGGTTTTTGGGTTAGATCGCGTAAATATATAAATGTGTCGTTAAAACCCGCCACCACCCGACACAGCCAACTAGTAAGGTTTGTCACGTAAACAGAACATGCCAATTCGTCACTAGTACATATACTTACGCGATCTAACACAAAAACCTCTTGTGGATGATATTGGTCGCGAAAGCCTACGTGTTAAACAAATCTTTATTCATGGTTAACAAATAGAGGATGGAGACATGCAGACTGGCTTTCCAGATCCCATGGTGTAATTTTGAAGTTTGATGAGCTAATATGTTTTTGCAATGCTACAAAAAACATGAAATTGATCATTACAAGTAACACTGTACCGATGCGTAGAAAGATGAAAGTGTTAATCGTTGTGTATTACCTGCTACCTTATAAGCTTAGTATTCAACGATCATTGTGAACAAATACTTAAAATTTTGATTTAAAGCTTTCGTGACTGCAGTAATTCATATTCTTAGCTCTTTCGGTAAAGTCACGTTGAAGGGAAACAATAAAATATATAAAACAATACAAATTCTCACGACGTTTCGACCATAACACCCTTCAGCGTGACTTTACCAAAAGAGCTAAGAATATGAAATACTGAAAAGTCCACAAATAAGTAGACGGAAAGAGGACCACACGGATTCGAGAAAATACGCAGCTTAATGCCACCGTGGTATGTATACCTCTGTACCCTTGATATTATTTGCGTTGATTCACCATGGTGTTCTCATCAATATGCTAGAAGGGGTAATGCACGGTGGTCAAGAATACAGTACAGTAATAAGAGCGTTGCGGCCAAGGAATGGAACACATGGGTGGACGAATACAAAAGGAGATGGAGTGATAATATTAATTAGTGTGTGGGTGCTAGGTGGATTATTACTGTGCAGGATTATGAGAGGTGGCGGTGGCTTGGGGGAGACCTTCATTCAGCAGTAGGTTGACCATGGCTGATGAGAATTATGTTGACCAAATATAGTGTCAGTCAGCGAGTGAGACATATCTACGACGCGGTGTTCGCATGAGAACTGGTGGAGCAGGTAAGCTTGCCGAAACCGGTCCTGGTAACTGTAAAATGAGTCATAATTTAGCCTTTTGACAGACATGAGACTCGCCTCATAAGCAAACCTGCCTATATATTCCAACATAAAGCGGGAACTAATGTACACTAAATATACATTACTGGCAGGAAGTAATAAAGATGACCCAGGAAAATTAGGAGCTTTTGTTTCACATTGCTGGCAACAGAAACGCAGAGTGAAAAACAGTTACGTTCCCTTCCTCTCAGTTCTCACAAAATAACTGTCAAGCGGAAGTGCTGCTCGTACGCAAACCCTCCTGCGTCATTTCCCAGATTAGGCTTAGTTCAAGGGGCTCCAAAGATGCACTCACTGTGAGCAGAAACAGGTTCTACTCGTTTTCTATGGCAGGTATAGCTGACATAATAAATGCAAAAACTTTGTATATACAATGCGTAGGCCTTTTTCCCCAATTGTAATTTTGACCAAATCATGGAAGGGTAATTATCAACACCAGGGGGTGTCAACATACGGCCCCTTAAGCCCCTTCCTCCGGTCCACTACATTTTTTTGTACGATTTATTTATATATAATATATCTTTAAAATTAAATATTCTGCCTAAATTCATCTTGAATTTAAACCGGATATTGAAACGGGGCATTTGGTGCGCCCTGCTGCAAAAATAAAACACAATTTTTCTGCGCTTTTCGATGCCCTCGCTGGACATCCACCCCCACCCCTTCCTCTCCCGCCCGCCGCCCCCACCCGGTTCACCCAGAGCCCCGTCCTCCCCACGGCCACTTTATCTGGGCGATAGACATCCGCGTAAGTCCACCGCCCCCCACCACCACCTCTGTGTGACCCGAGAAATCCGTGGAAGTTCCTCGTGCTCATTCTATTCACGCAACCCCCGACCGATACGACTATCCTGATCACACCAGCGGCAAATCCTCCCGTTTCAATTTATGGTTCAAATTCCAAATTAGAATCCATGGGAAAAGATAAAAAAATTGTTAAAGTGTGATATGAGTCGTATAGCCTAATTGTGTTATTAAATAAAGGGAACGTCGAGATGGAATGTAGAGTTGTTTAAGACAAGTGGAGGAATTAATATTTCATTGTGGAGGTTAATGGAAAGCCAACAGCCCAGTCACTTGTTCTGAACTTATATGCAGTGGTCCAAACAAAGGTGTCAGGCATCAGGAAGAAAACGGCTGCAGCAGTGAGTGGTTAAATTATTTTGACATTACGTGGGTTTGTTGACGTGAATTTAGCGACCGGTTTCATACCGCCGATGTTCGGTAAATTAATACCGTCTTATCGTGCTTTAAATTTGTATAGGTCCAACTGTGTTGCCCGCGTGAGGTGCATTTGAATCCAAACCGGCCTGCTGTCCGATTGAGTTTGACATCCCCTGATCAAAACCCATCGTGCTATCACCACGAGTGGAGCTCCACTCTCTGTTAGTCTCCTAACAAATTGACTTCTGAAGACTTTTGAGGTGTCTCATCGTGCAACTGTAACCTCAATTTACAAGCAAATAAGCCAATGCTGTTGTTGCCTCGTTTCCTACCGCCATGGCATTAAGCCCAGCCACACATTCAATGCGATGCATCTTTTATGGCAAGGTGAAGCAGTGTGCTTCGCTATGAACCTTGCATCCCGTGTTTGATTCTCGGCCACGGGCGAGTGATATCTGAACTGGTCCTGCTCCGCTCCACCCCCTCTCCTGCCCCCTCACCAACCAGTTAACTCGTACGGTGAATAATAATCAAGAACTACTCCCATGACCAACGTGGTGTGGGAAGGCCTTCATCTGGCAGTGGATGAACAAAGGCGTGCAAATGATATATTTTATCAAAATCTTGTGTAGTAGTAATGCATGTCTGCAAGAATGATTGTTGGCTCTGCAAATTGAGAATGCCGATCGTTTGCACTGTTGTTTTGTGGTTTACGTTTTTGTTATGCATGCATGCCTGCAAATTCCATGTGCAATGGTATCAAGTCTGTCACACTGGTGCATGTTATAAAATTGTTGTCATATTAACGTACATACGCTTTTGACCTAAAAAAGAATCGTCAGAGTGGTTACTTTAAAATAAAAAAAAAATTGAGGCGATCTTACACACCTCCAGAAAAATCCAAGTTTTGCGAATTTAAAACAAAACAGAATAAAGCATTCTTTTCTAGCACGGACAATGACCTCCGCAAGCCGGCGCCATCACTTGCCACCCACAGCCGCCGCACTGTCGCCTTCGCAGATAACAAATGAAGAGATAACACTGTGACTGAGCGCCGTTCACCGAAGAGTACCGAAATGCACCAGTTCACACTGCTGCGCCTGCGGAATGCTCTGCGTGTCGACAATGCGTTTGGGCCGCACCGTGCGCCCCTCGAGGGGCTCCGACAGCCCCCTGGCACGGCACCGGGGGGCCCTGCTTGATGTGGCCCAGCCCAAGTTGCCGGCGCAGTCATGCCGAGCCGTGTTTATTTGCCGCAAGCTCATTAACAGCACTAATGTTGAGAGCTGCCCCTTTTAAGTAAGAGGGTGATATATGACTCAGAGCAGGTGGCGGTGCGTTTGCCCAGGATACCGGTGCACAAAGGCCTCACACTGACGCTGAGTGGGTGCTGTGCCACGAGCTACTCGTCGGCTGCTGTAACCAGTTGGGACAAATTTCGATTTAAAGCTTTCGTGACTGCAAGGATTCATCTTCTTTGGTTCTTTCGGTAAAGTCACGTAGAATGAGAATAGTAAAATAAAATAAGACAATAAAATTCTCACGACGTTTCGGCCAAGTTCTCTTTGGGTGTTGCTCTGGGTGTTTGCATTTGGGAATAGCTGTAGCCGTAGTTCAAATGTGCAGCGTTTACAGGGGATTGTTTATGGATTAATTGTTCCGCACAATCATTTATGCTGGTGTAGCTGCTTACTCAGCGGGAAGATGTGATTAGCCTATGTACTGTACCTGCATTATTTGTATGCACAGTGCATATGACACACCTGCGTATGAGGTGCAACAAGAAAATTGTTCAATTTTTGAGAGAGGGCTTGGGGCACTTGCATTTGCCATGATGACAGTATGCGCTATGCGCTGTTAATTGTGAATAATGCGGCACTATATATGCATTGGTAACTTTGCTGGGGTATATTAAAGGTTAAAGGTGGGCAGGAATCATTCATGTTTAGGTAACACTGTGGCTATAGAGGAATCATCACAATGATGCAGAACATTGTCGAAGTTCAACATTGCATGTCAAGTAGTTGCTAAAGACTTATGTGTTATTTGTAATAGTAGGTACTGTAATTGTGTTCTGGTGTCTTGACTCTCATGTGCAATTTGAATACCTTTCACGTGTAGTGTAATACGCATGATGGTCATGAAAATTATATTTTTATCTTGATAGTATGATATTTGTGGTAAGTAAAATGGCCTATTTTCTCAACAAGAAATCCAACCCGGCTGGAAGATTATGATACAGGTGTTATACAATATAGGTATAATGTGGACTTTAAGGTAATTGGTGGATGGTAAAAAAAAACCGAGTGGAGTGAAGGTGCAGTGGTTCGCACACTGCACTGCAAACCCAGTGGCCTGGATTTCATTTCCAGCCACGGCTAACATGAATGGCGAGTCAGATATGAACCATTTCTTCACCCCATTCCTCCACCATTTTGCCAACATGAATTTACCAGAATGATGAAGAATGGTTAAACAACCACCAAGGCTGATATGGCAATTGGAGGCCTTCAGCGGTGGATGGTCCTGTAAATTATTTTTCCTTTTTAGAAAATATCCCCTTCCGAACATAAAAAACCTCAACCATTAAATTTTCACGTCAAATCCTTCATCCCACATAAGTTGAAAAAGCAAGTACCACTTTATGGAAATTACAGTAGTTGCATTATGAAGTGATGCCACTGCAACCAATTATGGATTTTCACAACTGGCTCAGAACTGTAAGCAAGAGACAAGTATTAACCACCTGTCCATTGTTTTTGGGAAACTAATTAGACTTTTCTCAGGCAATAAAGTAATAATGCATAAATTAAAAAAAACTTTATATCGCGACCCATGGATAACACATTTTTACGAAGATTTGCATGTGCAGAGTTGTTGTTACAGAGCTTGCAATCTGAAGACGCTTACAATTTGCGCACGTGGGTGGGAGCAGGGGCTTCTGTGCTGAGCTGCGTGTCGGGAATCGTGTTCATGAATGAGTTGGGGGGACATTCCTTCCGGGTGACTTTGCAAGTGGGAAAATAAATAGACTCCCAGGTCACGCTATTGACGCAAGTTTGTGCTCAAGGCAAGATTCTCTGGTCAAAACATTGCAACCCGGCAACACTCAAGGCAGACATTTCCAAAATAAAAATTTGTAGAGATTTTGAGTGAGTGCTTGTGTTGAAACACAGCATCGTCATAATTACATTGAATTACATTATAGAAAGGCTTAATGGTTCATTTATGAGCAACTTAGTCGGGATAGATGTTGCTCACAACCGTTACTGCAATTGGAAAGTGACTGAGTAATGCTAATGGGTTATAGAATTAGCGTAGTTAAATGTGTTAACTTGAGGTCTTAATAATGCTTTCAATTGTGCAAACGAGTAAATGTTATCTGATGTGCTTCTACTGCCTGCATAGCAACGGACAGAGCGAGACTTGACAGCCGCAGCCTGAATGCAATGGGGCCTGATGCAATACAATGGCAAGAAGCATTTACAGAATAAATGTGCTTGATGATGCAAAGTGCTTCACGGCATATGTTTCAGTGGTTCCCAAGCATCGTGTGGATTAGCTCATTAATATCATACACACGCCAGGCATATAACGTGCAACAGCCAAGCCACATTGTGCTTAGAGTTGTACTTGTTATGTTTTTACTTGCCAAGAAACGTTTGGAACTGATCAGCAGTTTAAAGGCGAGAAACCTAGCGTTCAGCACTGAAATGTTATAATTTAAAACCATATACGTGTTTTTTACAAGGTAACTGTGGTCAGTGGTTATATCCTAAAGTGGGGAAACAATGTTGTTTTTTTGTATTTTTTTGCCCAAGGCGCAGCTTCGGATAACATATCCAAGGCTAAAGGAAAGAGCCCTCAACATCCACAGTATTGACAATGTAGAGCTGGAAAACCAGCTTAGGCAAGGGCAGTAATGTAAATTTACTTAATTCTTCGAAAGAAAAAAAATAACAACGTGGGCAGTGCTGTGTCACTCAACACTACCATTTTTAAAATATATGAATAGTATATTATTTATTTAAGTTTTTTAAAAAGACGTACAGTCTGTTCTATAATGCAGTAGCTGAGTTCCTGAAGAACACCGCGTTATGGAAAAACCGCGTTATAATAAATAATATACATATAGGGTAAAGCAGACTTCGCGATAACGCATGAGATGCATATGCAGGCTGAACAAAGACTGAGGCGCGTGGGAAGAATCCAGCAGCATCCCGCCTTGTATGATAGTACGCCGAGGCAGTTGTACAACCGCTTATTCCTAGTCGCGCGACATCGTTTTGTTCACTCAATCGTGTTATATCCAATTTGCATCTGCGTTATAAAAAAGGTGTTCTCTAATACATTTATCGCGTTATATCCAATTCACGTTACACGCGTTATAGGGGAACAGACTGGGTTGCATGATCATTGCAAATTCAGTTTAACAGTACTTTGTCATAATGGAAGGTAATGCGAAATGTTTTAGTAATCCTGGTCAACTCTATTTCATTAAGTGAGGAATATTGGCTCATGCAAACAATACTTGAAATTAATTTAAAAACTATTTTGGGGTAACGCTTTTAACACTGTCATAAGCATTTCAAAGCACAGTATATAAGTAATCTGCATCATGTAGCTTGCACCATTTTTTGTAATAATTGCAATAACACTGATAGTTAATATTATTTAGTTATTTCAATGTTGCTTGGTTTAATATAATAAAATGCAACTTACAAGCTAACACATGTACATATGTTTACTGTGACCGCATTTTGCATTTATGCTAAAGGTCACACGTTCTTATCTCTGTTTTTCAGGCCACCCAGAGATCTTGACTCAAAGGCGTGTATAACTATTGATGACAAGGTACGCACCAACCCTTGCCGACAGCGCCCTACATACAACACAGCTTGAGTTTCCACCAAATATTTATTACCGTCACATCTACAAAAACAGCCAAACCCTGGATATTGCATGCTACTACCACCGTCAAACAATGTCCTTTTATCAATATAGGCACATTTTTGTAATTTAATGAAAGGACATTGGCTTTTTATGTGTAAACTAGAAAGCAGTAAAACATGTGTATATGTTACACGTGTTATTGCTGGAATTCCAATAAATCAAACGTCCTTAGAGATTCACATTCACACAATCGTACACAGCAGTACCTGTAAATACCTGGGCAGTTATATTTCTTGAAGTATCAATAACATCCTGTGCAGTGATTTCACTGAGCCTCATGAAAGTGTTTGTGCCATGTCCTCCCTCCCCCACCGCTGCCTCCCTGTCTCAGCAGCGATAGCAGAGCCAGTAGGCATAGCAATGTTATTGCAAAAAATGTTGGATTCCATTCAACCCCAACTTCCCCGTCCAGGAAACCTGCGTTTCCAGTCCGAGCTTAAACATTTGTACGTGGAGTGGGTTTTTTTTTGGATGGCACAGCTGTTGACGCATTGATTGTGCGTTTTCGCGTGGCTGGAGAGCACTAGTGGACTGCTGTTTTGTGTTGTGGCTTGCAAATTTGCAGGTGGGGCATGTGCGTGAATGTTTTTTGTAATGTTTTTGCAACGGCCTTTAATTTAAGTCCAAATTGTTCAAGTCAACGGTTTTATATGCCCGCTTTCACCACTTCATAATTTATATTTGTCTAAGCACTTTTGTTTGTTTTCTTTTTTACCATGCAATGGCAATGTGATAGTTGTTAACATGAAGTGTTATTGTTGGTAACTTTAGCCGATGGGGAGCTATACACCACCGATGGTCGTGTGATCATATATGTTGGGTGTGTATTACATTGGTGCAGGGTTATTAGCCGTGTGCATTCACAACACATTCGGTTTGTATATATTTTGTACTTAATGTGTGGTACTCATAGTATTGAAAGGCAATATATTTTAATTGGTCCCATATGCCTTTCTGGGGCATGAAAACATAAAAGAATTCTGCAAACAAAAAAAAGCCCCAAGTCTATTACCAGGCACATGCATGGAAGAGGCAGTGCTTACAGGTCTCTGTTTTTTATACCAGTTTTAAAGCCACGGCTTATGTATCCTATTTCAGCACTTGCGTGCAATGCATGCACGCACTCGTAACTTGTACGCAACACAAACACTACTCGCCTCTATGTACTGAACACCGGCTGTAATTGCAGCACCAACCAACCCCACCTCACCAAGCTCTCTAGACCACCACCCTCTGTCACCCGACTCCCAGCCTCCCCTTTTCTCTCCTCACCCGATTCCTGCCTTCTCCGGCTCATTTTCTAAACGGTCAATTCAGCCGTAGTCCCCATTTTTGTTTTCACGCAAAAATTCCAACCTTTCAACGTTCATCATTGGCACTGGTGATTTTGGGGCGGCACACACTCAGCATAAACAGTGTTGAGGTTAGAGGTCTGGTGGAACGGCAAATGGACCAGGTTGTAATTGAGCTCGAGTTTATTTTTTCAGTCATTTGTTTTAACCCTCAGGTATTTTAAAAGAGAAAGTGTGAAATGGACCAGCCCAGTGCCCATGTGTGCAGTGTTATCGGCTCTGCAAGCATGGGTGTTTCCTGGCAAGTGCCATTGCAAGCCAAACTTAGAAAAACTGCCTGGATATCTTGCAAAGCTAACATTTGTTTTAAGGGCTGTACTTGGAGCTTGATTGGTGGGAGTTAAGGAAGAGGGTGGGAGTTGGGGGAGTGATGCCTGTGTGGCAAGCCAGTGGTGGGGGAGAACTAAATATAAACCATGTTTTCCACAAGTCACAACACATGCAGCATTACTCAGCTTTATCCAATGCCTCTGAGTAACTCTTTGCAAATGTCAAGCCTTCCAGATTAAATTCGTGGCTTTCCTGAAAATTATCTCAACTTATTTTTTCTGGTAAATGCACACTTTGAGTATTGAGTAATATTGAGGAATCCTAATACGTACCGTGCACATTATATAAGTTTTATGTGCACATGTTTGAAGTGATTAACTTCACAAATATAAATGCACCAACACCAAAAGTGTCCCTGTATAATCAAAATAATTAATACACGTTTCTGCACAAATACAAATTGTTACACATAGTGCAAGAGTGGTATATTGTAATTGTGACCATTATGCAAACATTCAACCACGTGGATGCAGGATAAGCTCTGGTTCCAACTGCTGGAAAATGATAGTGATCTTTAGATACCTACTACAATGTGTCATACATTGGTAGGAATGGTGGCACAGAGGTTAACACGATGTGTGATGACATGACAACCTGAGTTCAATTCCCAGTCAGTGGCGAGTGATATTAGAACCGGACTTGCAACCCCCCTCTGCCCACCACCTCCCCCCTTCACCAACCCGCACTGACCAGCATGGTGAAGTATGGTCAAATCCCCACAACTGACACAGCTAAGGGGGGAGGCCTTCATCCAGGAGTCGACTGACAACGTGTGATATTACTGCATCATAAATCACCCATTACTAAAGAAATCCTCCACTCGTTGTAGAAAATATTTTACACATGCAGTATAACATTGCAGATCATGAATTTTCACCATTGTGTACAGTTGAGAGCAAACTTAAAACAAGGATATGGCACACACCCAGGAGACAATGGCTTCCTCGTTGTGCGTGCACTTTTGCAGTTGCAACTAGAATCCTTAAGACATGTTCAAGCAGGTATGCGTGTATGCACACATGCGTGCACATGCATAGCACGTGTGTATAGGTGTGGACGAAGCACCCGGGCTGTTCAACACAAGCCTCTGTGTGCTGTTTATTTGCCATGTGGCCACAAGGACAGCATCGCACAACAGATGTGCTTAAATTATATGCAACGGGGACCTGCATTATCTTATGCAGGTAATTGGTATACTGATGTATAATAATTTACCACGCTTTGTCAATTTACTGATTGATGAAGGCCTCCACAAAGCGTACGTGTAGGTCTTGGGGGTTGCCTAACCATACTTCACCATGCTGATCAGTGCGGTTTTGTGAAGGTGGGGGGAGGGGCCGGTTCAGATATATCTCTCGCCAACTGATGTTAACAGCCGCGGTCGGGAATCCAACAGGAGTCGCCTTGTTTATAGGGCAATGATCATAGTACCACTGCTCCTCTCCCTTACACTGGTGAATGCACAAGGATAACCTTTTTATTTTTACAGGTATTACCAAAATACAAAAAGCTAAATGTAAACGTTCACACATTGCAATGAAGCCAAATCTAGATGTTGCACCAATGGAAAGGGATAGCACATTGCTGACACTAGAACGTCAATTATTGAGCACGGCTAATGCACAGTGCCAAAACATACTTTCACGCATTGGAACGATGACCTGAAACCAGTTGTATTGTAATTGCTTATTGCTAAGACGATCCATTATCCTCATGCTAACATGTTCGCTGTGAAAGTGAAACATAACTTCCACGGAGCGTTGTCCCTGTGCTAGCTTAAAAAAAGATCCTAACTCTGCGTGCAACGGTCCTGATCACGATAATTTGTGTCTTTAAACCCAGAGGGCATAATAAACTCTCTGGTGCCTGCAATTGCACAGAGTCTTGAAATAACATTCAGCTACGCATTTTCTGCTTGTCCAAATGAAACATGTACGCGTTTAGCTATGAATGCGAGTGCTACAAGTGAGGGAATTCGGCATGTAGTACAAGTTCACCCAGATAAACTACACCGGGGCATAGGCAAAACGTCGCCGATTAAAATATCACCGTTCGGCGTCGGTGATGATGTGTGCACCTGTCAGGCGACATTTCACGGCGACCTTCCAAAGAGAATGTGGCGCCTCCTGTCTCTCCCTGCGTGCGCGACGAGCGCTTTATCATCGACGCGTATCGTGTGGATGCAAAATAGTGAGGTTTGATCTTTGATGGTGGTGTACTGGCTATTGAAAGCTCTTCTTAGATGTCAGCGGCTTGCGTCGATGTGATCAGCGGCTTGCCTCGTCGCGATGATCAGCGGCTTGCTTGAAGAGGATGTTTTAAAGTGTTTAAATCACAATATTCATAGATCCAAGGGTGGACACACTGAATGAACTTCAAACATTTGAATCTTTATCGTCAAAGAGCGTACGTACGCTTGAGATGAAAGTAACGTGTATATTTTTTTTATAGGCCATTGAATGATCATGACACCATTTGATTAAGAGCAGAATATGGACGAAATAATTCTAACTATAAAATATTACCGCTTGCATTTGAGTTTCTTCATATGTTTAATGGCTGGAAGTCTTGCTTTATCAACGAACCCACCCACGTCTCTGTTCCACGGTGCCAGTGTTCCTGGTTTAGACTTTGCTTTACTGAGACCGCCCACCACCAGCATAGAGGTCCAATGTCTACCAGCGTTGTCCATTTTGTGTTGCGTGTGTTGTGATGGAACACGTACAAAGTCAAAGTGCTCCAATGCTTAAAACGTGTCTGCTGGTGGTTCTGAACCAACAGTGGAAATACCACATTAACAGGTCAATTCAAAAAGACAAGATCATTTATTATATGCCGACTCAACCGTTGATAAGGATTTGAACTCGTGACCTACCGATTGTTGGCAGGCATCTTTACTGCAACCATTTGAGTTGTAGGTGAGTGTTAGGGATGTAATAATCCTAGTAGTTTTATTTGTCACGATTCAGGGTCATAATTCCATTCTAGAATAAGTTGCTTCTCACCACCTTACCATTTAAAAAAAAATATATTCCTGTTTTCTTCATACATCCGTTGAGTTTTTGTAATTAATTAACACGTGCTCAATACAATGCATGTATCGTGTCAGAGTGGATTTAAAATCGATTAATCGATGCATGGCTGTGTGACTCATTAGTGCTGATGCTTAGCACCGACTGCGCACCTCCGATTAGCACGGTTGGCTACGTATGGTGCGATAGAAGTTCAACACACGTTCATGCAGCTGTACATTTCCTCTGTTCCCCTTTACTATTTTGAACCCCGTAGAACTTTGAGGTGAAAGCCGATGACCTGGAATCGATATGCGAGCTGGGCCGCGGCGCGTATGGCGTGGTCGAGAGGGTGCGACACACGCCCAGTGGCACCATCATGGCCGTCAAGGTGAGGCCACCATCGCTCGTCTCTCCGTTGACTGTTATTTGCAGTGCATCTTCTGCTGTGGCTTCATTCACAGTTAAAAGCCCAGTGTGTAAGACTTCACAATAATCATCATCATACATTATTCTTTTGCTCTCGTTATTTCTGCATTCATCTTTTTTTTTATTTGCTATGTAGCGGGTTTTGTTTTTCTATTGTCTGCGTAAGGGACTGGCTAATTAATGTGCAGTGTTGTGGGATGCAATTGCATGAATGACGCTATCTAAAATGGCATTATTATCCACTGCTGGATTGAAGACTCCCCAAGCCGGTCTCCCCATCTCTCACGGTCACGTGATGAAGCAATCCATCGAGTACCCGCACACGAGCTGATTTCGTTGCTCCACCACCACAATGGTCGAACTTTTGGCGGTGCTCCTTCCATTGGGTACCAGTCGTCATCTTGGCACCCGGCCATCATCCCTTCCAGTGACGTATCGTGCCCGAGCCCACTTTTTTGTAATGGCCAATGTTATCTCTAACTTGCACGCGTTGCAATCTGTCTCAGTGTAATCCCAACCATGTACTTCTCCATGTTTCTCTGCACACTTTTCTGCTTTAGTTCCATTTTCCTCGTCAATGTCCATGTGTTCACACTTCTTGAGTATCATGGTCCGAATCGGATGGCTTCTACTTTGGCCAAATATAAAAAGGGCATTCATTTATATGAAATGATACATGAGGAATGTTGAATGTAGCAACACATGCTTACTGATGCTGCAGAATATGCTTATCTAGTTGCATATGCCCATAGGCATATCCAGTGTGAAAGATGCATAATTTCCTCTACTGTTACTACAACATAGGTGTTTGAGGTTGTGCTGTATAACTCACTTGGCACAGTAGGGGGCACAGCTGGTGCATCTGCCAGTAATCTCAGTCAGTCAACACATGGCACCTGGGTCTGTCCTGTGACCTGTCAGCGAGCCTTTGACATTTCATGTGGCCTCAAAGTGCACCTGGCCTGGCACAGGCGCTATGGTGACATCACCGCCACTTCGTGGTGAATGGCGCGTGTTATTGTTGTTGCTGTATAACTCTCCGATTACTATTCGAGATGAGCCGCGTGTTTTTGGGCATGGTTGTCATTTCACTCTACGTGCTGGGAGTTTCTTTAGGAACTGCATTTTTGAAGATTTCGAATTTCCTGAAGTTTCAGTCCCTGAAGAAACTCCCATCACATGCAGCGAAACATTGGACACCATGCCGAATAACGCACGACACTACCTGAAAACACAACAGAGAGTGATGAATGACGAGTGTTATAATATGTACTAGTCTCACGTTCATCACTTCCTGTACAGATAAAGGCAGATGTGTTTCATGTAATTGAGTGCAATTGCCCAAATATCTTTTTTTAGCGGATCCGAGCTACAGTAAACAGCCAGGAGCAGAAGAGGCTTCTGATGGACCTGGACATCTCGATGCGCACTGTCGACTGTCCTTACACGGTCACCTTTTACGGAGCCCTCTTCCGTGAGGTGAGCTACAAAGCCCTTAGAAACGCTGAGCTGCTTTGCATCTTATGTTGGTGTATTAGCCAAGAGCCTCTGACCAAGTCACCCGGGATGCACCCGTTCTCCTCAGATGTCGAAAGATAAGCAGAGTTGAGCCTGGATAGTGCTTGACTGGGTGACAACCATGCGCAAAACAAACAACAGGTGGTAGTATAGGTGTTGTGCTCAGTAGAGGGCAGTGCAGAAAAATCCATTGTTCTGCATCCCCCCCAATCCCACCTTCAACCCGCACTGACCAGCATGATGAAATATGGTCAACTATCCCTCATGGTCTGCAAGGTTTGTGGTTTCCTTTGTCTAACAGTGGATTGATGAACACTGGCTGTGCGTGTACATTCGTCGAAAACGATGTCTGGACACAGTTGTATCTCCTTGCTGCTAGTTTGCTCCGGATCTTAATAAGACGTCTGCCATGAGTGGGTAGGCCTTAATTTAATGTTTTTCCCCAAAGAAAATCCAAAATTGTTTAAGAAGATAATTTGCACCGTCTCTTGGTCATTTAAAATATGAACCATTGGTATCTGAACGGCGTGTAACAATGTACCGATTCAGCAGTCAAATTTCATGCTTGGGGACATTGCATCAAATTATGCATCTGTGCATCTGTAGAGGTGTTACGGGAGGGTGACACGCGGTTGTATAACGGTGGTCACAACCACGTCCGCTACGGCCACCACCCTGGGGGGCTGTGGGGGACGCTGTGACCCCTCCCAGCCCCACCCCTCAGAGAGGGACAGTATAAAAGGTGGGACCCGGAGAGCTGAGGGGCAGTTCGACTCAAGCAAGATGAAGAGGCAGTGAAGAAAGAAGATCGACTAGCTAGACCCTGGAACTTCCTTTGACCCGCTGTCCTTTTGAGGGCCGGGCAAATCAAGCCAGGGGGTGCGACACCAGAGCCCCGAGGCCCGATGTCCTTCTGAGGGCCGGACTCGTGTGGCTGGTGATCGGGACCTGCGCTGAAGCTGGGCCAGGTCAGATAGCCTCCTGAGAGAGGACCAGGATAGAGGGAACCAGGGAGCTAGCGTGGGCTAAGGCTCGGGAAACGTCCCCTCTGTAGAGTACGGGTGAAGAGGCCGTGACCTCTTCAAGTATCAAATTCGCCACTGTAATTGAAGCGTCTGTAATAAATACGTGTTGCCTCAAGTGAACGGTCTCCGACGTCAATAAGGCCACTACACATCTATTATGATTTATGGAAATGTTATTCCAGTTGTATGATCGTGGTACGGTGCATTTATGGTAATGGATCGAACAAAACTGTACCAAAGAGATAGAAAGAATGATAATGAATATGAACCAGATAGTAAAAATGAGATTGAAAAAGTTTATCGAGTACAATCGTGATGCGAACTCGAATGATGGCGATTGATGGAAGCACATGGAGGGTGAATAGTTATCTGCCTAGAACCTGGGTTTGCCTCCACACATTTCCCCATCGCCTATTTTCCCTATTGTAATTGCAAATCGATTCCTACAATTAAATGGCCATATCGTTTCAGTCAAGTTTAGCATCTGTTTGTGGTTCTTGCATACGGCATCCATTAGGCAGTCATTAAAAAGCCTCCAGTGATATTTTTCCCACCACTCTACCTGATCACACGAAAGCTTTGTGCTGGATGCTGAGAAAAAAAAACATGTTGTTCACACTGCAAAGCTGAATATTTTAACACCACTTTGTCTCAAAATTAAAAAAACTGTAAAAATACAGTATCTCTTATCACTGTTTTTGCATCTCCATGACTGTAAAACTTTACGTTCCATATAAAAGATGTAAGTAGGCACCAGCTGCACAAAATGAAATGTGGGAATTTTGCAGTTTGTTAAGTGACGACACGAATGATTATACCTCTAGATGTGGATGAACGCCGAGTACGGCATTTATTTTAGAAATTTAAGAGATCGATTCGTTGTGTTTTTTTTTTGCATGCCCTTGCCAGGGCGATGTGTGGATATGCATGGAACTGATGGACACGTCCCTGGACAAGTTCTACAAGAAGGTCATCGAGAAGGGCCTCACCATCCCTGAGGACATCCTCGGAAAGATTTCCGTCGCTGTAAGCACATCCCGGCATCTCTTCACATCGTAGCGGAGCCTAGTGGCCTTATGATACAGTTTTTAAAAAGTCTGAACTACTGTGTTGGTATTTTTTACGTAAAGGTCCATGTTTATTATTGCAGACGTAATGATGTTTATTGCATTTCTATAAAATTACACTGTTTCTTTGTTACTCTATCAAAATCAAACATTATTTGGCAATGATGCGTTATTGTGATCCATATACAGATACCCTCTCTAAAATAACAGGTCGACATTGCAGCAAAAACAACATTTCAATTCAAAGCCACTACATGTATCCCACCCAATCTCAATAGGCGTATTGTATCTTATAACACTCTCGTGATACACTTTGTCCAACATAGCTTTCACAACTTAATTCGCCTGTTGAGAAATAAGGGGGCAATTCGACATCAGTGGGGTGTCTATAAACGGATCACCTTGTATTGTCTGCCATACTAAAAAGGGTTAACATAGACTGGTGCGCCCTCTCCTGAGGAGAATGTGATTTATAACCAAGAGTTATTTTGTATTATTTTCAAGCACTCTTTAAAATATAACTGAACACGACCACAACACACGGAAAGTGGATGTATTAATTTCGTTGCACAGATTTGATCGTGTTGATGTCTAAAATCTAATATCAGCGACCTTTTTCAGATTGTGAAAGCTTTGGAACATTTGCACAGTAAACTATCTGTGATTCACAGAGGTAAGGAGGATACAGACGTGCACCATAACACACTTTATAGCTCTCCTTTTAGCTCAATCCAAAGTCCATTGGGAGGTATTAAAAGTTTCCAAACGTTGGTTTAGGTTCCTGCAAAAGTGCAAACCTGCAATGTCTTGTATATGCCACTGCTGGCTGAAGGGCCTTGATTAGAGGGAGCTCTAGAGATCCCCTTTAGGTGGTATTTGGCCTACTCTTCCACATTAGCATTAGACAGTCATCATGGAAGAAATGGGAGTAACCAAACTTGACCCCACTCCATGCAACCTGCTAAGTTGGTGTACAATCTTGTAGATAAAATATTTTTCGATTTAAAGCTTTAGTGACTGCAGGGATTCATCTTCTTGGTTCTTTCGGTAAAGTCACGTAGAAGGGAAATAATAAAATAATAAAAATAAAACATAAAATTCTCACGACGTTTCGGCCACAACACAAGCAGTCTTCTTCAGGTGAAGGAACAGAACTCTCGGGGCCGACAGCGCTTCAGTGAACACTGCTGAGCTTGGCAGCGGCTTTTAAGCTGGGTGGGAGGAGCAGACGAAGGAGTTTACATATCAACAGGAGAATTTAGCATTGAAGTAGCTGTGTTAATGTGTTGGATTAGCAGGATGTTAAAGTCAGAAATTAGCATGTAACTGGGAGATTAGCATAATGTTAGTGTAAGGGATTAGCATGTAACTGGTCACGGAAGTAGCTATGTTAAAGTCAGAGTTTACATGTCAACAGAGGCATTTAGTATATTCATGCTAAAGAACTGCAACTACCCAACTATCATACAATAAACCGATGTGAAAAAACTGAATATAAACTACATCAATATAATCAATGTACTCAATATATTCTCCAATAAGCTGAGCTATTAACATAAATTAACTGGGTATACACTACACTATATAATGAATACCAGATAGTAAACTGATAAAAACTAAAATATAAACTACATCAATATATTTTTTTATTTAAAGCTTTCGTGACTGCAGGGATTCATATTCTTGGTTCTTTCGGTAAAGTCACGTAGAAGGGAAACAATAAAATAATAAAAATATAAAACAATATAATTGTTTTATATTCTTTTATTGCGTTATATTTTTATTTATTTTATTGTTTCCCTTTTACGTGACTTTACCGAAAGAACCAAGAATATACATCAATATTATCAATAAACGCAATATACTCTCCAATCAGCTGAGCTATTAACATAAAGTAACTGGTAGCAGTTACATTGGAGAAACCAAACGACATATCTCGGACCGCATCCGTGAACATAAAGCAGACTTGAAACATGGTAGGATGAACACCTCAGCCGTGGCAGATCACTGTTATAATTCAGTGGGCTCACATGACATTGACTTCTCCAAGACAGAGGTTCTCTGCAAGCCACCCGGCTACCATGAGAGATTCGTTCATGAGGCCATCCACATATACAAACATAGAGACAATTTCAACCGAGAAGATGGATTCTGGCTTAGTAATCATTGGAAAGACGTGCTAAACCATTTCGGTTCTTGATTGATTGTATTTTACGGTGACTTTCAGACCGCAGTCCATTCGCTGGCACTGCCTCTTAACACCTTTCACACGACGGTCAATGGTATGGTTTATAGCATATTGTATAATGGTTGTAATGTATAGTAGTCTAGTTTATAGCATAGTTGTAAGGCAACACAGGACAGAGCAGCGCATCGTGGCTGTTTCTCTCTCTCCCCTCTCCTCCGTTCCGAGCATAGATGGACTCGTCCATCTGAACAAAGCTCGTCGCTTTCCGTGGTGCTAACGTTGAGGAAAAAAGAAAAAAGCAACCGCCACTTTTTTCGACATAGAATTGTAATGTATAATGACATTGTTAGTAGTTCAGCTGATTGGAGAGTATATTGAGTTTATTGATAATAATGATGTAGTTTATATTTTAGTTTTTTATCAGTTTACTATATGGTATTCATTATAAAGTGTAGTGTATACCCAGTTACTTTATGTTAATAGCTCAGCTTATTGGAGAATATGAGTACATTGATTATATTGATGTAGTTTGTATTTAGTTCTTTCACATCGGTTTATTGTATGATAGTTGGGTAGTTGCAGTTCTTTAGCATGAATATACTAAATGCCTCTGTTGATATGTAAACTCTGACTTTAACATAGCTACTTCCGTGACCAGTTACATGCTAATCCCTCACACTAACGTCATGCTAATCTCCCAGTTACATGCTAATTTCTGACTTTAACATCCTTCTAATCTCTCACATTAACACAGCTACTTCAATGCTAAATTCTTCTGTTGATATGTAAACTCCTTTGTCAAGGCGCTCTGCTCCTCCCACCCAGCTTCAAATACACTGCCAAGCTTAGTGTTCATTGGAGTGCTGTCTTTCTGACAGTTCTGTTTCTTCACCTGAGGAAGACTACTTGTGTTGTGGCTGAAACGTCGTGAGAATTTTATTTTATTATGTTTTATGTTTTATTATTTTATTATTTCCCTTCTACGTGACTTTACCGAAAGAACCAAGAAGATTAAATATTGTAGATAAAACTGTGGTGTACGCATTTACACTATCAATTGTGGCCAAGTCGCTTATGAAAAATAAGTTAATACCTCAATGGGCTTTAACTGGTAAGATATAAATAATTGAGTTACATTTGTATATTTTAAGTGATTTGTTTACCTTTCCTATACTTTGCACTGCTTTCGTGTTTGTATTGTTGTAACGTTCTTAACCCGCTCCGACTGGAAATATGTGAAAAAGAGCTTTATAGCTCATCAGAGTCCTCTAGTATCAATACAGATTCTGATACTGCTCGGTGGAGAGAGGGTGGGGGGGGGGGGATTTAAGCTACTTTAGACTTGTAAATTATCACTATTGTATTTGATCATTTTAAAAATAGTAACTTAAAACGTTGTCAAAGTAATTTTAAAACGTGCTAATTATTTCACAGTTAAAAGTACGTACAGTATGCAGGATGATGGTGTCAGGTAATAAAGAAAAAAGAGGAAGTTGTAAGGATAATTTTATTCCATACCAATGGGAATTGATGCTATAAATTGAATAAAATTATCACTCGTTTTCCCTCGTGTGCATGACAAGTAATTGGTCAATTTTGAAACCTCACAACTTGTGATAATTTTCTAATAATAAAAATGTACATGTATGCTAATACCTTCCTACACCGTGTCGATCATGGGGGTTATTCGGCCATACTTTATCATTTTGTTTATTATGGGTTGGTGATGGAGAAGGCTTAGATCTGGTTCAGCTATCACTTGACACTTGATGTTGACAGTCGCCGGCAATCGAACTCACGTCATCGGGTTCGTAGGTGGTGTGTCCTTACCACTGTGCCACCACTCTCCCCAAATGGCACATGTCCATGATACTATCTGGCAGCTGTAACGTTTTAATGGCACCTGGATACTCAAGAGGCTTGTGTGGGTGCAATGTCATTGGACGGGGGAACAGTACAAATCAGTTTTCATTATTTACTTTTTCACTCACAGCCAACAACACGGTGGAAATTACCATGAAATTATAAAGTACACATACATGCCTTTATGCAATCAACTGCCGAATGAGGGCTTCACTGCGCCGTGCGTGTTGTCAGGGTTATTTCATATTTCATTAACGCTGGTCAGTGCCGGTTGCTGAAAGCAGCCAGCACGGGACAATGGATTGCTGCGCCGCCCTCTGCTGACAGTGTAGCCCAGTCGCCTAAAAAACACGTTTTATTCGTGGTGATCGCCCATCCAAGCCTGGGCGTTAATATGTACCTCATGAAAAGTTGAAAAGCATTGTTTTGATTGTGAGATAGTTCCCATTTTCATGATTGTGGTAATTCCACAATACGGTATGTCATTTATGGCAGAAACAAGCAGACAGATTAATATCTTGTCAAAGTTTAACTACAACTTTCTATCTACAAGATTGGAATTTTTAATATCAAAAATAATCTTTTGACATACCCAACAGAACATGTGGTTTTATTTATCCATTGATTTATTTTAAAAAATCCAAACCCTTAGAAAAAAAATATGTATATATAACAACATTATTAAAATATATCAAAATATATACATATATAGCCCCTTTTTTCAAATTTTATTGCTGTTTTTCACACCTGATGATGATTGCTTGTGTTGCAGTCGAAACGTGAAAATGTTATTGTTTTATATTTTTTATTATTTAATTGTTTCCCTTCTACGTGACTTTACCGAAAGAACCAAGAATATAAAAATATATACAATCAGATATTTATTCCAGCTATTCTTTTAAAAAAATATAAAATGTGTATTATTTCCGTGCAAGTGTTATATTCCCATAAAACTTAAAATGGTATAACAATGTTCATGTTTTTTATTTTGAAGGAAAGCTAAAATTTTAATTGTTTTTCCTTTTCTCTGCTCGCTCCCATACAGATGTCAAGCCATCCAATGTTCTGATCAACACACAAGGACACGTCAAGATGTGCGATTTTGGCATCAGTGGATATTTGGTCGACTCTGTCGCCAAAACCCTGGATGCAGGCTGCAAACCATATATGGCCGTAGGTGTTCCGATTAATTTGAATATTACGGCCCATGACTTATGGTGTGGCTCCTCTGAAGGCAGCAGAGGGTAGTACAGCAAATGCCATTGGTGTCCTGTAATTCTATGCTCACACATCAGTGCTCTCTGCCTTAATGAACACGCACTGACCAGTATGGTCAAGTATTGTCAAATAAATCCCCATGACCTACATGGTGTGTAGAGGCCCTCATTCAGCAGTGGATTGTCTAAAAATGGCTGTAAATATATAATTGATATATCTAGTGTGCAATGATAATAATGTCAATTCTGTTTATACTTCAGAAGGGATAAAAAGTAAGATTTTAGAATAAACGTAGTCAAGTCTGTTCTTATAAATAGGAAATAAAAAAAATAACATTTTTTATATAATCTAGGCCCTTACATATTACAGCCCATATGTATATAGAACGTGGTCAGCCTAACTTTCCAAAATGCTTTACACTGAACACATATATATATAATCTCTGTCATCAGTGAATACGACAATCACCTCCCATGGAGTGTGATGCTAAAGCTGGGTAGAGCCTGTAATTGTCAAAGCCTACAACTGTATACCAATAGTATAAAACAGATGAATGCGTAGATTCTCCATATTTTTCGCAATGAGGCTCAGTTTTGTACAGGCGCAAGTTTTAACAACCTAACATGATAATTTAGCATTTTTACCTCCCCATTATGACACTGGAATGTTGCCATGGTGCAAAGATTTGCAAGCTGAATTTGAAATCCAGATGTCGTGGTTCAATCTCCCAGCGCTACACAATAGTTAGTCAATCAGCAAGCTGTCTGTGGCGGACTAAAGCATGTACTGTACTACTACGTTTAGAATGTTTAGCCATTGTAGAAGAGTAGGCCAAATGCCCTCTAGAGGGGCCCTCTAGAGCCCTCTCTAGAGGAGGTCCTTTTGCCAGCAGTGGCGTGAGTAAGCATTTGCAGAGCTGCACCCCTACCTTATTATGGCACTTTGTCATTTATTGTTTGCCTATTTCTCATTAAATACTTCAACTAGTTGACTTGGTCATGGGAGTTCAGGAACCGTGAGAAAAGAAATGACTAATACCTATCCCATGTGCGCCCACCCTCTTTCACTTTTACAGCCAGAGAGAATAAACCCGGAGATCAATCAGAAGGGTTACAATGTCAAGTCCGACATTTGGAGTTTGGGCATTACCATGGTAAGGGTCTTGTGATAGACACACACTGCTGCAATGCTGCCGTAGCACATTTCCTTCTGCTGTTATCCGCACAAAACACTGTTTTGTGCGGAAATTTACCTTTACATTGCTCTGCTTTATTTGCCACATATAGCGTCTTGTGTAAGTTTAGCAAATTTAATGTGCACCTACACAAGTGGTGGTTCTTAACCTTTACTGCAGCCTTGAACTCCTTTGGTTCTCAATCGTAAACATTTAAAACAAATAAAACATAGGTTTGTTGAAACAAAGTAGTTGTACCTACGTGCCCGTTATTAATTTGTGTTTCGATTATTTACCTTCTAAATATAATCTGGCCATGTCGAGCACCCCCAGAAAGGGCATCTCGCAACTCCAGGGGGTGCGTGCACCCCAGGTTAAGAACCACTGACCTAAACTGATCAAGGTAGAGTTGTAGCACGGTGGTCATTAACCTGTTAATCCGAATTTGATTCTCAACCATGGTTTGTAATACCTGTATCATTCTGCACTGACCATCTTGGTGAAGTATGGTCAAACAATACCAATGACTGACATGGCAGAGGAAACCCCTGCGTCCAGCAGTGGATTGATGAACTTTAAGAAACTGACCTCATTATACCTAAATTGTAATTAATAGCATTCTCAACTATATTCTATAGTGACTAATTATAATTAAAACGTGGAAATAAAATTTACACTTTCACTTTTCTTTTGGCTTCGGGCATCGTAAGATTAGAACCCTTTTATTTAGCATTTGACAAGAGCTCCATGTAACAGCCTGCGACTTGATCACGTTACGTTTTATAATGAAATAGCATTTAAATAAATATATCTTGTGATGTTGTAAATCTAAGTGGTTTTTAATAAAAAAAATAATTCATATTTATATGAGTAAGGTGATATTGTTTGGCGCACGGCGTATATGTGTGTGTGATGTGTGTTGTGGGGTGCGGTAGTGTAGCGGTTAGTGCACTGCACTACGAACCCGGTAATCAGAGTTTGATTCCCGCTCACAACTAACATCGGTGACGAATATTTAAACTGGTCCTGGGCCTCCCCTAGGTCGACTCAGCCTCAAACGAGTACTTGGTGTGGTGGGTAAACATTGCCACTGGGAATAAGAAGGTATTCGGGGCGTGGTGCTGGCCATCCACCACCTGGTGTACTGTGGCGGCCTTCATACGTGCTTGTTAACAGCACTTGCCCAAAAAAGTCTGTTAAGACTTATTCTGGCAATTTGTCTTCGACTTGGCTGGTGGGGTGTAGCACCTCGTCTGCAGTTCGAGTGACGATTGCGTAATGCTGTCCATTTGCAGATTGAACTCGCCATCCTCAAGTTCCCGTACGAGTCGTGGGGGACGCCCTTCCAGCAGCTCAAGCAGGTCGTGGAAGAGCCCTCACCACAGCTGCCGCCGGAGAACTTCTCTCCGGAATTTGTGGACTTCAGCACACTCTGGTAGGAGGCTCCCTGGACTCGTAGACAGAGGGGCACATGCAAATAGTGCTTACCACGGGCAGTTAAGGGATGCATGGACTGTGTATTTCATCATTGTGACCGACAAACTGGTCAAATGTTTAAACGTATTCTTTTTTCAAAGCTAGGTACCTTGGGAGTATTGCTCCGTCCACTTAAACAATCATGCTTTCACTTTCAAACCGATATGGCTATAAACTTCAAGCACAAGTCATGGGCACCACGTAGCCATTCGTTTTCCTGAAAATGTATAATAGTTTCAAAAGTGGCCTTTTTACACTCATACCACAAATCCGCATTTGACCATTAAATTTTATATTCGTAGATAATATTGTTCAGTTCAGTTCATTTATTTTGATATAGCCCTGTGAGCCATTCGGATCTTGAATCGGGTGCAACCACAACAAACAAAAAAACAAAAACACGAACAAGAAAACATCTTAAAGTGACTATGTGACTGTGCAAACAGAAAATCCATGAAAAAAACCCAGCAAAATATTGTAGTGGCAAAGTGCCTCTCCTATGACTATTTTTACTGGTCTATAAATGCAACTTTAACCTTGGAACAGTAATAATACTGGTCTATAAATGCAACTTTAACCTTGTAACAGTAATAATAATACTGGTCTATAAATGCCACTTTAACCTTGTAACAGTAATAATAATACTGGTCTATCAATGCCACTTTAATCTTGTAACAGTAATAATAATACTGGTCTATAAATGCCACTTTAACCTTGTAACAGTAATAATAATACTGGTCTATCAATGCCACTTTAATCTTGTAACAGTAATACTAATACTGGTCTATAAATGCCACTTTAACCTTGTAACAGTAATAATACTGGTCAATAAATGCCACTTTAACCTTGTAACAGTAATAATAATACCAAAAAATGGTAGGTGAGAATAGCAACACTTTAACATTTCTAAATTGACAGGAATGTCAGAAGCCAGTATAATTAATTCTCTAATTAAAAGTCACATCTATTTCACCTCCGATTAGCATGGTCGGCTACGTACAGTGTGAAAGAAGGTAAACATTTTAAGAGAATGTTAATTGTGTATACAAATTGAACAAAGGCATCTTGTAATTCAATTTCACCTGTAAATAATGAAACTATTTATCAGTATGTCAACAAGTAACATCACGTTCCATTATGTTCCGAGCCTGTTCTATGTGTTATCGTGATGTTTTAACCGGAATGTAATACAATTATGATTATTTAAATTATACGAGAGTAATTTACAGCCATGAATCCAAAACTGGATGAAGGTTTTCCCCATGCCGATGATTTAGTTATTATAAAAAAAACAATTACATTTAATTGCCAATTAATTCCAAGTGAAATTGTATTTCTTTCGTGTCTCCTCTTTACTCTGCTTATAAAAGATGTAGCAAGTTTGTCTGACATTGGTCAGAAAAGATTATTGAATGTATCCTCAACTGGAATTGAGAATTTCTATTACATAACTGCAGCATGACATTTCAATTAATATGGTTCCTTTTTCCCCCAGCCTAAAAAAGAATCCCAATGAGAGACCAACATACGCCGAGCTAATGGTAAGAAGGATGCATTTCGTTACAACCATTTAAATAAACAACAACAACAACAACCATATTTCGTGTGATTCTAATAATGGCAACTGCATTGTTGACTCTCTGCCTCTGTTCACGTCCAGCCTTAAGATCTTCTTCTGCTGATGACCAACTGTGTATTTAAAAAAAAAATGTGTATCTCCTTTTTTACCCCCTGTGGCGTATGTCTCACTTTTTTACAGCTTATTGAGATACAATTGTACGTAGTTGCTTTATAAGTAAAAAAAATGCATTTTATTTTGTATTACTCATACATTATTATTGATGTTAGCTTCGAAAAGTCTTGTTTTTTTAATGGCTGAAGAAAATCCTGGGTTTAGGAGGAATGGGTTACATATTTTTAGGGTCTTTCGGTAAAGTCACGTTTTGATGGCAACACAAGTGGTCATCATCAGGAAAAGGGGGTTAGTTTCTAAAGGCAAATTGTTTATAAAGGTTTAAAATGGGCGTAGCCCAAATGTTAGCAGCATGGGCGGGGCTGCTGATGTTAATGTAAGTGATGGGCAACAACCACGAAGGTGGTAGGTTTCCACCAATGAAAGGGCTGCCAGGTAACAAATTCCATGTTAATGTAAGATCAGTGAGCGGCCTCCACGGCGAGCGCGCTGAGGTGGCTATGTTAATGTGAGAGATTAGCATGTTAATGTGAGAGATTAGCATGTTAATGTGAGAGATTAGCATGTTAATGTGAGAGATTAGCATGTTAATGTAAGAGATTAACATGTTAATGTAAGATCACAGAGCCAACGCACGTTGAGGTCAGCGTGCGAAGGTGGCTGTTTTGGTGTGAGAAATTTAACCTGTTAATGTAAAATCGGAGAGCCGAAAATAACAACTAACATCGGAAGGTGGCAGGATGGGAACATCACAGCCAGGTAGGATTTAAACTGGTTGATAACGTCCTTCCAATGATTGCTAAATGTGTACCCATCTGCTGCCGCTTGTGTTGCGATCGAAACGTCGTAGTTTTTGTTATTTTATTTGAACCTATCTACGTGACTTTACCGAAAGACCCTAAGAAAATGAATTACTGCAGTCACAAAAGCTTTAAGTCAAGAATGGGTAACAGTTATAGCTCTGCATTGTAGATATTTGGTGGCATCACAAGTTTTACATGGGACATATTTTACCCAGTCTCCCTTGCAACATTGACCATCTCCATCCGAGTAAAATAATAGCAACCTATATTCTACTAAATGTTACGTCAGCCTATTTTGAATCTAAACAAATAAGAGACTTAAACACTGTGTGTGTTTCTCACAAGAACAAATTGCGGGGACACACCATCCTTTCATTTCATTCAAAGTGAGACATTTCTACAACAGCAAGGGCACCGGCACGAATGGGCTTTAATTAGGCGATGGGGGCCAAAAATCGGGTGGACAGTCGCGTATACAGCTCAACCTCCAAATCACACCTACGACATGTATTGACTCTGCGGCATAACAGAAAATAGCCACGGGGGTGGGGGGAGCTACTGCATTATATTATTGCACAGAAGGGGGCGTCAATGAACAGGCACAGAACAAGACATTGGTGTGTTGCAATATGGTTATGCTGGAAAGGGGTTTCCAAGTCTCTCGCCCACCCATTTGGGGTTGCCAATGAGGGTTGTCCTATTTTTTTGAGATAGCTGCTGTTCTGGGAAATCTGTACATCTTCCTGTAACATTAAAAGTCCCCGTTTTTGTCGGTTGCCTATTAATAATACACCACTCAAGGCAACACATTTACATGTAGTTATCCCCCCTTCCTATAGTGAGATATCATTCTGCCAAAGATATATCCTTGTTTTTTTTGTAGCTCAGAGATAGCAACCCGACACCCTAAGCTTTAGTCTGTTATCACGGTCTTATAATTGGCTTGTGTAGCCACTGAGCTCTTGTTCCAGGTCATCTCAACATGAAATAAGCACCATCAGTATTCCAGGGGTTTGGGAGCAGTCGGGTCTGATGATGGTTAACGTAACTTCTCTGCAAGGCAGAGCAATGCAAGGGGGATGGATGATGTTAGCTAGCTTGAAGGGGCACAAAGGTCAATATTCTCATTGGGCACAGCGACACACACCTGTAATTTGCTGCTCGCAGCCGAGTGTTGGGATGAATTCTGATATTTTAGCCACTTTTTCATCGGTATGATTGTAGGATCATTCACCACAAAAAGACAAGCACAGGCTGGAGTTGCTTCCAAACTCTGTCATGAGAAGCGCTTACAATCACTAAACCAAATAAGAAGTAAATAAATGCAAATTCTTTTTTATCCCTTTCGAAAAAGTTGTGTGTGAATGAAGAGCAAGTAAACAAATACGCTACGAGATGTACACAGTGAGTGGTGACAGCTTGAGATTTATCCAAAATTAAAACTGGGCAAGTATACGAATGAGTGAGAGAATGTCATAGCGCTTATTCCCACGGACAAAAGATACGACTCCACTGCTGCCTTAAACACCCAAAAATGGTGGTTCTGGTTGTGTGCACGTGAATATATTCGTGCTGTGGGTGGCCTATTGCTACCAAATACTCGCATCCTCAGCTTTTGCTCAAGCCAAATGCGAAGATGGGAAAAACAACGGTTACAGAGGACATTTGGCTTTGGAAAGTTGGCAGTTGAATAAGGCAAATAAATGAGTTTAGACTTATGAATAAATGCATGTGCTTTAAAAAAAATCGTAGGTAACATACGTTAAAAGGGACGTGTGGGATGTGTGAAAATGCATTAATGCACAGCTTACAGTGAGGGAAAAAAAGTATTTGATCCCCTGCTGATTTTGTACGTTTGCCCACTGACAAATAAATGATCAGTCTATAATGCTAATGGTAGGTTTATTTGAACAGTGAGAGACAGAATAACAACAAAAACAATCCAGAAAAACGCATGTTAAAAATGTTATAAATTTTAATGAGAGAAATAAGTATTTGACCCCTCTGCAAAACATGACTTAGTTCTTGGTGGCAAAACCCTTCTTGGTAATCAAATCACAGAGGTCAGACGTTTCTTGTAGTTGGCCACCAGGTTTGCACACATCTCAGGAGGGATTTTGTCCCACTCCTCTTTGCAGATCTTCTCCAAGTCATTAAGGTTTCGAGGCTGACGTTTGGCAACTCGAACCTTCAGCTCCCTCCACAGATTTTCTATGGGATTAAGGTCTGGAGACTGGCTAGGCCACTCCAGGAGCTTAATGTGCTTCTTCTTGAGCCACTCCTTTGTTGCCTTGGCCGTGTGTTTTGGGTCATTGTCATGCTGGAATACCCATCCACGACCCAATTTTTTATGCCCTGGCTGAGGGAAGGAGGTTCTCACCCAAGATTTGACGGTACATGGCCCCGTCCATCGTCCCTTTGATGCGGTGAAGTTGTCCTGTCCCCTTAGCAGAAAAACACCCCCAAAGCATAATTTTTCCACCTCCATGTTTGACGGTGGGGATGGTGTTCTTGGGGTCATAGGCAGCATTCCTCCTCCTCCAAACACGGCGAGTTGAGTTGATGCCAAAGAGCTCCATTTTGGTCTCATCTGACCACAACACTTTCACCCAGTTGTCCTCTGAATCATTCAGATGTTCATTGGCAAACTTCAGACGGGCATGTATATGTGCTTTCTTGAGCAGGGGGACCTTGCGGGCGCTGCAGGATTTCAGTCCTTCACGGCGTAGTGTGTTACCAATTGTTTTCTTGGTGACTATGGTCCCAGCTGCCTTGAGATCATTGACAAGATCCTCCCGTGTAGTTCTGGGCTGATTCCTCACCGTTCTCATGATCACTGCAACTCCACGAGGTGAGATCTTGCATGGAGCCCCAGGCCGAGGGAGAATGACAGTTCTTTTGTGTTTCTTCCATTTGCGAATAATCGCACCAACTGTTGTCACCTTCTCAACAAGCCGCTTGGCAATGGTCTTGTAGCCCATTCCAGCCTTGCGTAGGTCTACAATCTTGTCCCTGACATCCTTGGAGAGCTCTTTGGTCTAGGCCATGGTGGAGAGTTTGGAATCTGATTGATTGAGTTCTTCTGTGGACAGGTGTCTTTTATACAGGTAACAAGCTGAGATTAGGAGCACTCCCTTTAAGAGTGTGCTCCTAATCTCAGCTCGTTACCTGTATAAAAGTCACCTGGGAGCCAGAAATCTTTCTGAGTGAGAGGGGGTCAAATACTTATTTCCCTCATTAAAATGCAAATCAATTTATCACATTTTTGATATGTGTTCTTCTGGATTTTTGTTGTTGTTATTCTGTCTTTCACTGTTCAATTAAACCTACCATTAAAATTATAGACTGATAATTTCTTTGTCAGTGGGCAAACGTACAAAATCAGCAGGGGTTTAAATACTTTTTTCCCTCACTGTACCATGAAGACAACTGTAAGGCAATGACGTGCCATTATCCGTCATTACATTTTCAAAATGGTTCAAGTTCCTCTTGTGTTAGAATCAAGATCGAGATGTCATCATGGCCAAAACTAGTGATGTGGTAGAAATGGGTTATGCTAAAAGAGTTACAGCCTCTATTCAATCTACTGCTGGATGAAGGTATCCCCCACATCGTGGTGGTCATGAGGACTGTTTGGCCATACAACCCAGCTAGGTCGGTGTGGGTTGGTGAAGAGAGAGAGAGGCCCAGCACCACTGCAGATGTCACCACTTACCAATTGCGGGGATCATCCTGCAATGCACCAAACCATTTCCACTGCTCCACCCAGCAATATGTTATATGGACATCAGTTATGACGTATGCAAATATTCAGCATATTTGTAACTGTCCTTTTGATTTTTTTCTTTTGCAGGACAACACTTTTTTTGGAATACACAACGCCAAGGATACAGATGTTGCTACGTTTGTGAAACTGATTCTAGGCGACAAGTCAAACTGAGTATTTGTGAAGTGGGGGATGCAAATCCTCAAAGTAAAGCGACAGAACTAATGCATATGGCAGACATTTCATGGTACATTGTAGACAGCCCCAGAAGGATCAAATGCATGCTGGTGCTGCTACATTTGCAGCAGTAAATATACATAGGTCACACAGAGATACCAACGCGTTATTAATCCTGGTTGGCATTCCTGCGCGTAACGTGTGCATGGCGTCGGTTCAATCGGTGGCGAATACCACACATGCTTTTGCCGTACATTTTTTTTGTTATTTTAATGTTCTCCTTTACCCCAATTTTATTTAAATTACATATTCATCTTAATTATAATATTCTCCCTTCCCAACTTTTATTTAAAGTACGTTTTTGAATATGAAGATTCAATTGTTTTTCACCAGTACAATCTCAACACTGGCCTTAATTTCAGGAAAAATAATCAACGAAATAAGTTAATGTTGTCCCAATGTGTTTGTGTAAATAATATTTACAACAAGCAGCGCAGTGAATGCCATTTTGCTTATCCCATGGTGCAGAGTCGACACACTATTTTGATTGTTTCAGAGGCAATAATGCAAAGTTCTCTATTTTTGGTGGCAGACACCCTGTGGTGTTATTGTTCAGCTGTGAATGTTCCGGCTTTGCCTGTCAATCTACATGTGCGATCTTCATGAAAACAAAATGGAAACATGAGAAGTATGAGAGCTTTGCCAAATATGATATGCTTTAATGGTTATTGTGGTGAAAGTTAATAAAATTGCCATAATGGTATAATTGGCCGTTTCCTAAAGCATTTATCTGCAAATACATTTCTTTATAATGGAACACAAAGTGCCCTCTATCTATTTAGCCAATATGTAAAAAAGCTTGCTAAGTGTATGTACGTATCGGATTGAAATAGAGATGACATTATGTAGGCCTGGGAAAGGTTTAACAGCTGTACCTCATATGACTTCAGTTGTAAGTCGTTTAAAGATAGCAGAATTCTTTAATGTAAAGATATACATTTAAAACATCATAGACACACAGCATGAGCTTATAGTGACATTGGAGGAGGCAGTGGTGTGGTGATTAGGGTACGTGCCACTTCCAGTGATCTGGGATCCTAATCTCCCACAGGCCGTTTCTTTTTTACACTCAAAATAGATTTTTTTAAAATCAGATACTGTAACTGCTAAGGTCTTGGTGAGTTTCTCTTGACTTGAAATTAGCACTCAACACTGGGGTTCTTCGTGCTGAAGAAGCATAGACAACTGAGATCAGCTTCACCTATTCACTTCCGTGCCCAACACCGCAGCCACCACCCTCCGTACTCTTCACTGGCTCCCTTTCGCCAGCCAGGACAAATTCTAAAATCGCCTGCCTTTGTCATCGCACCTTCACCACCGGTCCCCCACAATACCTCGCCTCACTACTCTCGCCTTGCACTGAAGCTCATGGGAGAACCCTACGCTGCGTCACTCAAAATCAGATTTGGACACCACGGTCTCAAACTGTTACAGCCTCAGGTCGGTTCTCTGCTTTCGTCCCCTCGATGTGGAACTAAAGGCCTCTATCTGTTTGGTGAGGCTTTCGAGCAGCCCTGAACTTGTCTCCGCACCTCGTGAGTTGTTGACTTGCCTGAAACATCTTGCGCATCTGTCATCATTATTAATGAGCTTTCACAACTAATTTTGTCACTAGTTGACTATTGAGGCACAAGAGCAACATACACCTCGGAGATCAAGGCGAGAGTGAGTAGCAGCAGTGACGACGAACATGTTATGGAGTACATATTAAAATTACAATCATTCAATACAAATATTGTCTTGAAAATAAAAACACTATTTGGAGATTTTTTTTCTTCCAAAGATGCATGTTCAGGTTTTTTGAGCGGTGATGATGTCAAAGAAGCTCATGACCACAAGTGAAATATGCGTGAAAATCAGCGTGGTGAGGCTTATGAAATGCTGTGTTTCCTTTACGACACTTTGTATTTAAAACAAACATTAAACGAATCTCATACGGAAAGTTCGTGTTTTATCCAGATAATCTGTTTAAGAAGGGTTTGCGTGAGTTTTTTTGAGATGCCACACAATGGAAATGTATGGAAATGCTGTTTAACTTGCAATGATATCACTGTTGTATTGTTATTCTACTGTATAGGAAAATATCTTTAATTAGAAAAATTGACCCTCATGTCTGATTGTCAATATTTTTATAATTTACTGTATTTTAGCCATGTATGGTAGTGAAAGCTATGCAGTTGCTTTTCTTGGATATATGATATTTTAATACTTGAATGGTGTACCAGGCTTTATTGAGCTGACATATATGGGGAAAATGCATACCATTGCTTAAGATCTGAAGCCGACATTGTATGCAAACAAATATATATAAGGGCGTTAACAATAAACCACAACATACCTTTTACTTACGTGTGCATGTTTTAGAGGATTTCAGCACACTATAGGGCCTTGTTTTTGTTGTTTTTTTGTGCAGTTTTCCTTTGAATAAAATTTCTTTCCAAAGATGTATACTTTTCTTTCGTGTAAAGTGTTTATTTTATGAGGAAAACGGTGAAATCTTCTGGTTACCTTTGGCGCTGCATACAGAAATACATGTATTTTGCGATTCAAAAAGTATATTATAAGACGTGCGGTCATGAGGTTTAAATAAGTAATGAAATGAGCTCATTGCAAAATATACTGCAGAAAAAAAATGTACATTGTCAGAAAAATACATTTCAGCAACATGAAAAACTTATATTCTATATTAAGAGAGTTATATATGCAGGATACAAAATGTGCACAATTATTTGCATTGTTAGCAGTGGTGATTATTATACTGTCAATGCATTTATTTTAAACTAATAATGCTAAAGAAAACGGATATAATAACCTTCACAATAAGTTATCATGTGATGTCCCCAAAGTATGCATCTTGCTGAAATATTTTTAATACAGCTTTACAGCAAACGTTGAAATTAATGGGATATAATTGTTATGGTGAGAGTGGTGACGATGATGACCTTACAGCAAAAAATAAAGACGCTTGAGGAATTTCAAAATGTCATTGGCTTGTCTGTTCTGAGACGTAGGTCTTGCCTCTGGCACATAACCTGTTACAGTGAGGGAAAAAAAGTATTTGATCCCCTGCTGATTTTGTACGTTTGCCCACTGACAAAGAAATTATCAGTCTATAATTTTAATGGTAGGTTTATTTGAACAGTGAGAGACAGAATAACAACAAAAAAATCCAGAAAAACGCATGTCAAAAATGTTATAAATTGATTTGCATTTTAATGAGGGAAATAAGTATTTGACCTCTCAATCAGAAAGATTTCTGGCTCCCAGGTGTCTTTTATACAGGTAACGAGCTGATATTAGGAGCACGCTCTTAAAGGGAGTGCTCCTAATATCCGCTTGTTACCTGTATAAAAGACACCTGTCCACAGAAGCAATCAATCATATTCCAAACTCTCCATCATGGCCAAGACCAAAGAGCTCTCCAAGGATGTCAGGGACAAGATTGTAGACCTACACAAGGCTGGAATGGGCTACAAGTCCATTGCCAAGCACCTTGGTGAGAAGGTGACCACAGTTGGTGCGATTATTCACAAATGGAAGAAACTCAAAAGAACTGTCAATCTCCCTCGGCCTGGGGCTCCATGCAAGATCTCACCTCGTGGAGTTGTAATGATCATGAGAACGGTGAGGAATCAGCCCAGAACTACACGGGAGGATCTTGTCAATGATCTCAAGGCAGCTGGGACCATAGTCACCAAGAAAACAATTGGTAACACTACGCCGTGAAGGACTGAAATCCTGCAGTGCCCGCAAGGTCCCCCTGCTCAAGAAAGCACATATACATGCCCGTCTGAAGTTTGCCAATGAACATCTGAATGATTCAGAGGACAACTGGGTGAAAGTGTTGAGGTCAGATGAGACCAAAATGGAGCTCTTTGGCATCAACTCAACTCACCGTGTTTGGAGGAGGAGGAATGCTGCCTATGACCCCAAGAACACCATCCCCACCGTCATTATTATGCTTTGGGGGTGTTTTTCTGCTAAGGGGACAGGACAACTTCACTGCATCAAAGGGACGATGGACGGGGCCATGTACCGTCAAATCTTGGGTGAGAACCTCCTTCCCTCAGCCAGGGCATTGAAAATGGGTCGTGGATGGGTATTCCAGCATGACAATGACCCAAAACACACGGCCAAGGCAACAAAGGAGTGGCTCAAGAAGAAGCACATTAAGGTCCTGGAATGGCCTAGCCAGTCTCCAGACCTTAATCCCGTAGAAAATCTGTGGAGGGAGCTGAAGGTTCGAGTTGCCAAACGTCAGCCTCGAAACATTAATGACTTGGAGAAGATCTGCAAAGAGGAGTGGGACAAAATCCCTCCTGAGATGTGTGCAAACCTGGTGGCCAACTACAAGAAACGTCTGACCTCTGTGATTGCCAACAAGGGTTTTGCCACCAAGTACTAAGTCATGTTTTGCAGAGGGGTCAAATACTTATTTCCCTCATTAAAATGCAAATCAATTTATAACATTTTTGACATGCGTTTTTCTGGATTTTCTTGTTGTTATTCTGTCTCTCACTGTTCAAATAAACCTACCAATAAATTTATAGACTGATAATTTCTTTGTCAGTAGGCAAACGTACAAAATCAGCAGGGGATCAAATACTTTTTTCCCTCACTGTATGTAACTATCGGCCTCAATCTAACCACACTTGTGTTTTATGTCAACTTGGCTGATATGTTTAAGCATAGACGAAAATAATCTCACCTCTGAGGAAGCAGTCATTCTCTATTTTTTTATTATTATAGGGCAGTATTAATGATGATGGAGTATTTTTAATCTATCCTAGATTCTGTGTGTTCTTGTTTCAATAAGTGGTGGCGCATTGGTTAATGCACTACTACTAACCTGGTTATCTGTGTTCAATTCCTGGCCACGAATAATATTAGTGCTGAGTAATATCAGAACTTGCCCTGAATTGGGCTTAGACGAGTATTTGGTATGTAAAACGTAAGCACTGACGAGGCATGGTGCTGGCCACACTACACCCTCATGTACCGTATAGACCTAAATTGGTGATCACGAACTTTTTGTAGGCTCACAGGATATCTTGGTATTTTTGTTTGTTTCAGTCTACATTACTGGCCCAATATAGCTGAGCAATATCAATATCAAAGTTTTGACATAATGTAGGTTAACATGGTCGAATGGTTAGCACACATATGCCCATCCCGTGACCGAGAGCTTTATATGATATTCCTGCTTTGGAAATATCGGCCTCAGGTATTTTCCATCATACTCTTTTGGAAGCTCTTATACTATGGCGTAAATGTTATTGCCTGGACGCACACACTAAACTGTTATGATAAATTTGTCAAACGTGCCATAACACCAAATTACATTGGGTGGGTAGCGATGGTGCAAAATTAGTTTGCTATAGGAGTTTGCCTTGTAATGCCAGATACCGTTTTGACATTCGTAGGAATTTTAAGGATGCAAGTGCTGGGAATTAATTTACTTGCTATTATACATTTTGTAGTTCCAAGCTGCTATTCAATGGACAGCTGCATCTACTCAAACCGCTGTCCGTGGGACTTGGGATGTGGCGGCGTGAGACGTTGAGCCTGCCAGGTGGCGTCACGTGACCGTGTGTGCGCAATGTCCCCTCGATCTGACAGTGTTTACATTAGACATTTTCACGGCAACATGGGTTTCATCCAACCCGTGTTTTCTGCCAACGTCACCGAGTGGAACATAATTTTTTTTTAAATAAACAAGACGACAGTAATGGATAAACCTTCTTGCACTGGGGTGTTATGCAACGTACAAAACGGATTCTAAATACGGGTGACAAAAGGTGCAGGCCTAACGGTTAGGACAGAGAAAGCTCAGGTGACGTTGAGTTACCTGGGCGGGTGAAAGGCCCACGACACCATTATTAAAATTGTATTGAATTAGCCAGATGGCTCAGGGGTCAGAGCACTGAACTGTCACTACTCTGAATAACCGAGTTCAAATCCGGGTAGCCAACCATGATTAAACCAGGTTCTCATGTGTGGAGAGTTGGCGGTCTCAGTCTGGTCACTGATAGCACACACAAAAAAAACACAATTAATTTGTTCTTTCACGAAATCCCATCTCTAGGACACTTCACTTTCAGTGACGTGATGAACAATACTCTGGCTCTTTCAGTAAAGTCACGTAGATTGAACCACCTCTATGGGGAGGGTTTCCACACATCTGTTAGACCACCTGATGAAGATTGCTTGTGTTGCGATCGAAACGTGATTTGTTTTATTTTATTTCTACCTACGTGACTTTACCGAAAGAACCAAAGAGTATGGATTCCTGCAGTCACGAAAGCTTCAAATCAAGAGTGATGAACAATCTTTACAGGACATTAAAATGTGACCCTAGTGTGGCCAAATGTGTCTCTGAGTGATTTCAGGAGGAGATTTGCGACATTGTCTTCTGGGGTTGTTCACTGCCAACAGGGTGATGAACTAGAAGCTGCAGTGATCCAATTAAAAATAACTTAATCTCATGATTCTGATGACATAATCCAGATTAGTTTTTGCTTTACTAATCCGCATTGAGATGTGCATCATGTGGTCAGGAAACAGAACAGGTTGTGAATATCCCACAAAACTTTGGAAGTCAAATAGAATACAATTTGTATTACAATGAAAACATTATTAAAACATGTGAAGGTGCAGCCATGCAATTGCGTGCTCACACCACTGCTGGCAGAAGGGTCTCCACTCGAGAAAGCTCGTATGTTTTGCCTACTATTCCTCGGTGGCCAGACATCATGGAAAACGTGCTTTTACCCACATTTTGCCCCACCACTCAGGACCTGACGATCAACTATGGGGTACCCATTCATACTCTTGGTAGAGCGGGGGGGGGGGGGGGTCAATAAACTCGTCCATCATCTCAACTGCCGTGCCGGGAGTGCAAACGGGGGATGTACACAGGTAATATTTATCGGATCAATTAGCCTTAACAGGTAAAGACAGCTGCCTACAGTATATGCGGTCGACCTAAAGGCTGTACGTTTCTCTCCTACTCTGGGATACTGGGAAGCATGGGATCACATATACACAGTACATGTGACAGCAAATGTGGCTTACATTAAACCCATAGTTTCAATAGGAAATTAATTTATCACACCCTGACCACTTAGAAGAAATACATTTGGACAGCAGTGTATGACTTACAAGTAATGTTAATGCAACGTCCTTGCATTCTGTGGAAATGCAGTTTTCAGGAGTCAACATTAATATTATGAAAATGATGCTGTAGATTGCAGCGTTGTTGGAGGACACCAAATGCTTATTTTGTGTATGCCACTGACAGGCGTCCGTTACCCACCTGAAAAACCTGCTGCTAGAGGAAGCCTCGTGTTTTGGTGCACATATACGTATCAGTGAATGGAGGGATTAAATACCATTCTATGTGTTTTTTTGGTGAACAGTCGCATTGTTGTTAGCGGACTGCACTACAATCTGAGT